ACTCTTAAGATAGCTCATGTGATCCTGTGACAACAAACTTAAAAGGCAATGACTCATTATAAATAATTCTAGGTGTTGTTTATGCACTGTGGAACTCTTAGCTTTCTTGCCAAATTCTGTAAGAGTCTGACAGAAATCAGGCCAATTGCATAATTGCTATAATGCTCTCTCAACTCATAAAATCTGCATTGAATCTTGGTTTGTTGGCAGAGCTCTCTGCTCACTGACTCTCTTATTGCTAAGTGATTTTCATTTGCTCATTGTAAAAGTGCATTTAAATGTAAGTTTCCCATAGCATATAAATTAGCTCAACTAGTCATTTGATTGCTACAGTTGTTTGTCCATGTCCTTATTACGAAGGGAAAAACATATACAGGAGAAAATTATTCTTGTGTCTCTTTCATGGAACATAGCATTGATAATCACGCTTTCCTGCCCAATCTAGCTTTAGTTTCACTGTCCAGTTCTTCTTCAAGAAGCAGTGTTAAATTGCATAGAAATGAGACTAAGCCTAAACATGCTTTAAAAAAAATTCCACATTCCACAAAAAAGATTACACCTTGCATATTCATACATAAATGTAATTGTGCTTGTTATATTTAGCAACAGTTCATTTCACAGCACTGTTAATGCTAAACTCCAGGGAAACAGCTAAATATATAGCTGAAATAATAACTGAGCGTTTACCTGCCAAAAGAGTAATATTTCTTTCTAATCAATTTTAAGATACACACTGCCCAGACAGATAGCACAGCCAATTTTGTGACCTGACTTTTTTCCACTGCCATTTATCAATACGGTATGGTCACCTTCCTGCCAGCCTGTGCGTAGACAGTGATGAGTGATCCCTCTTCTTACTGTGCACTCTTGTCTTGTGAGCATTTCAAGACAAATGCATGTACTCACTCTAGTTGCATTAAAAATTACATTCAATAGTTTTGAATGAACATATCATTACATTGATTTGTGTTTTTATATCTACCTGGAGTTCAGTTTGCTGCAAAGGCATCTATTGAGGGAACTGCTAGTCATATACAGAACATATGGCACTATTTAGAAAGTCCATTTAATGTACCTTTAAGGCTTACATGATCCCTTGCTGCCAGATTCATCATTCCTTTCACGTTGAGTTTAAGTAGAACTGTATCCTTCTGTCTGATTCTGTAATGTGCAAATTATTTCTTGTGGTCTATGATTTAATTCACATATTTGCATATTTAAACACATTTTTGTGGATTTTGACATGTGATGCAATATTTTTTTAATGGTGGTCTACATGTAACAACATACAGTATATGTAAACAGTATTACTCAATAAAATGGCACAGTTCTTAGACAAAACGAACATAATAGTTGTGCATAGAACACACCTGTGTCAAGTTTAAGCCAACAAATCAGTTCTCCTGATGCAATACTGAACCAAGAGTGAATTGTAAGCTGTAATAGCTGAAACCCAGGTCACATTATGTTTAGTGATGGACCGAACACCCTCGTGTTCAGTTCGAATTCGAACTTTAGAACATGGAAAAAGGTCGAATTCGAACTCAATGCAAGTATATGGGGTTAGAACTTTGAAAATCAATTGTCCCCATTTTGAAGGCTTATATGCAAGTTATAGGCCATAAAAATGGTATGGGGATTTGGGTACTGCCCTGGGGGACATGTATCAATGAAAAAAACGTTTAAAAAATACAATTTTTAAAGGAACAGTGATTTCAACATCACTTAAAGTGAAAAAAATTCCTTTAAATATCGTGCCTGGGGGGTCCCCTTAAACTGCCTGTAAAGTGGCACATCTGTACAATGTATGGAACCTGCTGCAGCAAAAATGACATTTATAAAGAAAAAAATTACATTTAAAAAGAAAAAAAAAAGTGTGCAGTTCTCCCTCCTAAACAATACCAGACCCTTTAGGTCTGGTAGGAAAGTTAGGAGGGGCCCCATTTAAAAAAAAATAAGTTACAAGTTACAATTTAAAAAAAAAAGTGCATGGTGTTTCTCCTCAAAGTCATACCAGGCCCTTAAGGTCTGGTAGAAATTTTAAAGAGGAACCCCACCCCCATAATGGGGAAAAAATGTGTGGGGTCCCCCCTAAAATTCCCAACCAGACCCTTGATCTGAGCACAGGCCTGGCAGGGCAGGAAAGGGGGGGTTGAGTCAGCGCCCCTCCCTGTGATACCAGGCCACGTGCCTTTGGCACAGGGAGGGTGCTTTTCCAGGGTCGCCCCTGGGAAAGCACCTTTTCCTAATGCCAATGGGGACAAAGACCTCTTCCCCACAAGCCCTGGGGTGTTGGTTGTGGGGGTATGGGCAGGGGGCTTATTCACATCAGGGTACCCCTTTAAAAAAAACAGCAATAGGTCAACTTATGTTAGTGGAGGAGAGACCAACAAATGAACTAGCGATGTTCGAGTCGAACTCTTGTTCGAGTCAAACATCAAGGCCCATCACTAATCCCTACTCAAGATACCATTAAAGATTGCTGTTTACGGAAAAGCCTCTTTTACACACCTTTGTATGAGTTTGTGTGTATTATATGGGCCTGGTTACCTTGACTCCATGTCTAAACTCCATTTGCTATTGCAATGTCCAATGAGACTGCCTCACTAGCCAGTAAAAGTGCTTTCATTGGGCAGATGGCCCTGACTCTTTGGCAGAACATTAAGTTGTAGTACGAGCTAACTTTAACTGTTAATGAACTCTGGTATGGTATCTATATTTCCACTGTTGCTAAAAACTAGTGGAACAGGTGATGTCAGAGAGGATACATCCGAAGCAGTGTATGTTGAAAGGTGGCACAGATAAGACACTGCAATCATGCTTGTACCAAATAGTTTTGAAGTCTTTTTCAGGCCATGTATTATGTATTTAGTTGCAGAACCTGCTAATAAAGCAGGCTGCTACAAGATACCCTTTCTTACATTTCATATTTCTTGATACCTTTAGCAGTCAGAAACAAGCCATCAACATTCAGCATCTGATATTGTGGTGGCTTCATGTAGAGCAATATACTTTCAACAAATGGTAAAGCTGAAAGAAATTAGCAGTTATTTTGCAAAATATATCTTCATTCTAACATGCAGCTAGGGCTTTTTTGGCAACTATCATTCATTTACATTAAGAAGTAAATTATTGTGATTCAGCTAAACAGACAGTACTGCGCTATTATTAAGCTGGGGAATCACTGTACTCAATCATGCTCTGAAATGTGCAAATCATGGGATTATTTTTAAGCTAGCTGGTAAATGCCTTGACTTGTAGCATCTGTAATATGATTTGCCTATATTGTATCAATTATATTTTTTATAAACTAGTGAAATACAGTACCTAATGCCCCTTGAAGATATCTATGCAGGGATATATATATTGTCTGGTGTCAAAGGAAATCATAAATGATTGTACTCCTCCCAGATGTGTTTGAACAAATCACATTAGGACATGACTGTGAATCTTATTAAGGTGGATTCAGATCATGTTGTGTTTCAGGTTGCCATGTTTCCTTATAGCTAGTGCCGAGTATAATGGCCCCTGGCAATATGTTTTATAGCTACTATATGTCTTTTGCATGTACATAAAAGGATTTTTTTAAAGCGTACACCTAGACTACAGTATTTTGTTCATGACAGACAGCATAAAGCTTTGGGCAAATGTAGTGTCAAACAGATATTGTGCGAGAAGCAAAAATTTTAAAATAGAAAATTTCAGGAAAAAAAATGAATTATTTTTCTTTTTTTAAAGACTGCATAGTGTGCTTCCTATTAAATTAATTCAAGACCAAGGATAGCCAACACATTGGTCATAATCAACTTCACATTAACAGTTGCTCTTTGATCAACATTTGCATTAGTTATTACTTACACTGAAAGAAATGATTCAAGAGAAGACAAAAAAAAAATAGTTGTATACAAAAAATATTAGTCACAGGGATTTATTAGGCATTTATCGAGCATGGAATTATGTTTTCTACATATGACTTAAAACCACATTCTCTACCTTGCCTTCTCTAATGCAGACTACCATGCACTGGCATTAATGCTTAGCTGCTTGAAGATGAATGTCTTAAAAGGTGCACTTTAGACTAAATGCTTGGGCATACATTGCCCAAACATGGTTCCTCCCCCCTCATGGCCACTTGACTTAAAGAATCAGCAAGAAGGGTGGTCAGTTTAAAGAAGGGTCCCACTCTATATGGTTGATTTACTGAAAACAAGTAGGCTGCACACTTGGCAAGGGGATTTTCCCTTAGCTTAGGGAATGAGGTGAAGTTTGGCTGACTTTCATCATCCAATCATGTGCAAGCAAAAATATTTTTTTTCTTTCCTTGCATGTGATTGGGTATTCTTTGCAAAGTGAATTTTCACTATGTGTGTGCATATTACCGAGGACACACAGCAATGAGAAACATCAAAGTTGAAAGTTTTGTTTGTAAATGTCGTAGTACCACAAAAATTTTTTATTAAATACCTTTTGATAGTCTTTTTAAGATGGATTTCTGCTTAATGCTAAATACCATCACATCCATACCACCAAAAGAAAGCTCTATTCATGTAAAAAAGTTATATAAATTTAATTTGGGTACAGTGTTGTATGAGCGTGTAATTGGTAGTTGAGGGGGGGGGGGGGTAAACCTGTGGAGCTGAAGTGGTTAATGTTTGTTGATCCAAAACAATAACAGTTACTGCAGGCAAGTTTGGCTGATAACATAGAGCAATGGGTGCATAAAAATGTATAAAATACAATCAATCTCAGCTTCTGTACAAAGGTAAGTTTACTGGCTCTTTATTGTGTATATATCGGTCATGTAGGCAAGCCTGTAGGATGTAGTGTAGATGTGCCTCTAACAATTACAGAGTCTATAAAAATTATTATAAAATCACTGGACGTGTGACAATAATACTTCACATTTGTGCTTGCTAACCGCTTATAGGGGTCAAGGGTATTGTTGTCAATCACTGCCTTTTGCATTTAAATGTAGCACTGCACAAATGCATGTGTTCCGATGTGATTGTGAGCGTCCATGCAGTCATTACATATCATTATTATACACTCTGCTGACCTGAGAAACTTAGCTGTGCTTTATGCAATTATGGGACCAGGACACTCTTGGTGGGGTTTGAACCCCCCTCCATCCCTCCCCCCTATCTACACCCCTGCAAACAGTGGCAAAACAGTTTCATGGTATCGTTTTTTATTTCCTTTTTCACAGTATCACATGTCCTGAAAGTTTAATAAAATGTCAAAACGGAGTGCACAAAACACTTCCGTACCACAACCTTACATTCCATAGATGTGGCATTTGTTATCCTGAAATATACTGTAACTTACAGTGCAATATTTCAGAGTCAATAGTCAGACATATAGTGCAGTGGTTGGAGACTATGTAAGCAACTTGTTTGGGCTGCAATGTAAGAGGGAGAGATGAGGCAGTTTTTATCATGAAATAAAAATGAGAGTGTTTTATATCAGAGACAGCAGCCAGAAATATTGTACAGACTTGCTGCACATTATGTGACCATTTTTACTAGGCTGCAATTGAAGAGGGAGAGACATGGCAGGTTTTATACTGAAAAAAAAATTGAGTGTATTATTTCAGAGACAACAGCCAGAAATATTTTACAGACTCACTGCACATTATGTAAGCAGTTTTACTAGGCATAAATTGAAGAAGGAGGGACATGGCTTGTGTATTATTTTAGTGTCAACAGCTGAAAATATTGTGCAAACTCTACAGTCAATATTTAAGCAATTGGGATATGCAGGATTTTGAAAAGGACACACATCATGCAGCTTTTCATCCCAAAAATCCACAATAAAGTGTACATTTTACACTAACAAATGAAGGAATAGCATACAGACTCCATAAGCAGTATTTAAACAATCTGTTGTAGGCTGCATTTTTAAGCACATCACCTTTGGCTTCTGAGGACACAATGAAGTGCATATTTTTCACATTAATATTAAGGAATATTCTACCAGAAACACAGAATTCCAACAATCTCTTGTAGGCCCCTTTGCTAAATCACATACCTCATGCAACTTTTGAGGACAAATAACCACTACAAAATCTATATTTTTTACAATAAAATAAAAGTAATATTGTACACACTGCATAGGCAGTAGTTCAACAATCCCTTCTGGATCTCATTTGCAAAACCCCATCCCTCATGCAGCTTTGGAAGGAAAAAAAACTATAAAGTGTATATTCTTCACAATAAAATAGAAGGGATATTGTGCATGCTGTATACTGTTAGGAGCATCTCCCACTCAAGTTCCACTCTGCCAGCAATGCCTCCTAAGCCATCTGACTTGCCTCATTGCTCCATTTGGATGATAGTGCTGGGCACTCACTCTGTTTGAACATCAGAAGACCAGGGCTCTGGCCTTGTGACAGTATTCCTCACTAGCCCTCAAAAGCCCTCATAATGCTTTGCCTAATCTGTGAAGTATGGTCAGGTGAAAAATGATGGGGCATTGAAAATGTGCTGGCTCCCTCCCTATAAAAGTCAGTTTTCCCAGCATTGTTGCGTCAGTGGAATTAGTGAGGGACAACTAACAGCTTTGTGAGGGAAAGGCAGTCTGTGTTATTTGTACAGTGGGAGTTATACAGTTGTATATTCAGTGCTTTATTTATATTTTTTTGTCTGTGTCAGCATAAAGTTCTGTTGCTTTTTAGCTGCCGCTGCCCCTCCACTTTTTTGGGATATTTTGTTTTTTTCTTCGTTTTACACTTTTTTATTTTCTGCAAAACAAAAAATACTTAAACAAATACAAAAAAGGGTTTTTGCAATTTGAGGAATTTAACATTTTAAACCTTCTGATAGCTGTTAGATCTTTTTTCTCCAGTTAAAATTAATGACATAGGGATGCTGTTGGTATATGTACACCAAAGAATAATGTATAATGTAAAACATGTATTAGACATATAAATTACCGTACTTAATGCCACAATACAGTGTCACCTACACTTTCACCGATCATGAAATCACAATTAGGGTATACTTTTTCAGAGAGTCAATAGCCACACATATTCTTGATTGCCAGAGCAGTGGAATAGGCCACAAACTAGGAGACACAGAGCTGTTTATATCTATCTCCACATACACACTGAACAAAGGCTGCTAGAAAGCTTACTCTTACAAAAAACAAAACAAACTGATGATTGGCCCTTCTAAACTGCCTTACCATAGTTCCAAAACCAGGGAAAACATTACTGGCATTTAGTTGCTATGGTTGCACATGATCACATTAGTTTACCTTTTTTTGAACTGCAAATGATTTGAGCTTAGGTCAGACTCATGGTTGACCTGAACCTGAAGTTCATCTCTACTTCTGACACGAATCAAACATAAGTTTGTGATCATTTTAGCATCTTCTAGGTAAAAACATGCCATTATAATGTTTTAACCGGCAACAATGAGGGGTAGATAAGAATTACTGAATTACTGAATCCTGCAATCCATGAACCCCCCTGGATGCTTTGTCAGGCACTACTGTTGCTAGCCACAATAAAGATTCCAGATTTGCAGGACTAGGTGAGTAAAGTAAAAGATTTTAAAAAATAATTATAAATACTTTGATACATGACTGAATTGTAAGCCCAATATATAACATATAATGTTATTATTTGTATATACATATATCTATATATTACTCAAAATACGTAATCTCAAAAGTGATTTATTTCTATTGTAACAATAAAAATAATATGTAAAGTGTA